GCTCACTAACGAACACAAACTCAGCAATCGGCTGGAAAAATTTTGGCTACCGTATTTTGGGATTGGATTGGAATAATTTTCATAGACTAATTGGAAAATGCAAAAACAATAACATCAAATCGCTATTCCATATTATTGGATCGATTAAGTGAGAAAATCAAGAAAAAACTACTACATTTGTTGAAGAAGAAATGTTGGTTTTGCAGAATAACGCACCCGCTTACACGTCAATGAAAACGAGGGCAACATTAAATGAATTATTGTATGAATTGCTTCTTCATCTAACGTATCCTCCAGATTTGACTTCCACTGATTATTATCTGAGATTTGAACGAAATGATGAAGTGAAATACGAAACAGAGGTATATTTCAGAGGTCTCTCTATCCAAAAGTTGAAAGATCGTTATACCTGGTGTGTGAAGCTAAAAGAGACTATATTGAAGCATAAAATAAAATTTTCCAAAAAAATGCGTCTTTATTACTTAGGCCGGGTATTGTATTATCAATCCACTTTGTATAGATATAGTTGCAATCGTATGAAGAATTTAAAGAGATCTGATGAATAAGTTTAATATCACTTTTATGACATCTTCCATGACATCACACATATTTTGTTTATTCAATATTTTAGACTACAGATACAATGATTCAATATGAGAATCACAAATAAATTTCATCAGAAATCGGTAAACTTGCATTCAGCTAATGATGAAATGTATAGTTTCCCACTACTTTCTATTAAAATGTTATGTGTTTTTTATTGTATAAAATATGCTGGGATTATTGAAGATTTATTTGATTACGGCTTTTTAATACAATAAATCCTTGCAAATATATGCAAAGATTCCGTTTATTCTAGTTAAACGTAACTATTTATTTAAATAATTTGACAACATTTGTTTACAAATCTTAGTTCAAAAAGTAGTAACACTATTTTTTAAATATCTTTATTCTATAATTGTTAAGATATAAGCTTATCTAGTCTTTGTAATGATTTTAATAATTTCTTAGTTTTTTTCCAAACTTATTGCTTCATAATGTTGTCACAATTGTCAAAATTCACAGGAAGCGATAGTATCTAATTGCTTAGTAACAAATTTATATATAAATTAAATTTATATATGAATAAGGCGTCTTTTGACTCATGATTCCTGGAATATGTAAATTAAAATTAAAAAAAAAAACAGAAAAATGTTGCAAACACAATAGTCAAGTACGGCTTTGGGTCAGTTGGTTCACATTTGGCAGGAACCCCGAGTTTGATTCCTGGTACTTGCAGTATCAAAAAAACAAAAATTATTTACGAATAAGTAATTACAAGAAATTTTTCCAAGACAACTGATGACGGGTATTTGGCAATACTCGAAACAGCTGTAAGGTCAGTTAAAAATTCAATTAATTTAAATAATATAAAATGAATTTTTGTTGTTGTAGTTCACTACTGTTCGAAAAAACCTCTTTAAAATAAAATATTAATGTTTAGTAAACAGAGTATAGTAAATTAATTACAATTTATTCATATCACAAGTTATAGAATAGATAATATATCTATCTATCAATATTGGAAATAGATCAATATTGGAGATGTCGAAGCAAAAATTGGTCATTTTATAAAATTGGTAATTTATAAAAGGATTTGATGTTTGTGGAGGTAGGCCAAACCAGTTAATGAGAAGGGATATTGAACTTAAAAAGTCGTTGTTTTTGATTGGAGAAGACGCGGTTGGAATATAAAGTTCAAATAAGTGACCGACCATTATTACAATGTTTTTTTTAATTTTTTTCATATATTAAATATTAACTGAGTGTTTTATAATATTTAAGTTATTTTCATTAAAATTTTTTAAAAGTTAATAGAAAGAAAACAATCGTGTTTATCAAAAAGTGTTCTTATATGAGAGATTTAGTTTTTAAAGTGGAAGAAATATCAAGTCACGTTCAAAAAATTTATCTTGATCTTTTTCTATATTTCTATCAACTTATATTTCGATACAAATACATATTAACGTTACAATCGAACACACTCTTTACCATAAGTTGGAGAGCTGAATGCTTTCAATAGAACAATTTACAGGTTATCTATAAGTAGAACTCAATAGTTGGTTGGTTGCAATGGCAGGCAATTAGATAACTTCCATCTACCTCAATTAGCGATTTTTCGCCGTTTTGCTAACACATTCCTCGCATGAGTCCTAGTATAGAAGAGTAGAGACTAAATCCATCCTACCAAATTTAGGTAATTTAATAGGTCTTTCATCTTCACTGTTGAGCAGTGTGATACACTATCAATAAAGTATTTTCCTAAGAACCTATATCTGGAACTCAATAGAATTCAATAGTTCTCTAAATAATTTTATAGCACAAAATATGTTAATGAAGAATTCAAAAAATGTAGATTTGATGTAGACAAATCCTTACTACACAGTCAAAAATATTAGTTTTAATTTAAAACTTAGAGGGTTTTTATATTTATCCAACTCGAATGAACTAATTGAGGTCTAAAAGCTCAATCTTAATAGCTTCAAAATAAACCTTGCCGATTATATTATCAATTCACACAGTGTATTTTCTACGATTTAAACTCCGAGAGTTTACTTTCTTATGTATTATGGACAATCAAGTACAACGGGATTAAAAACCTCAATCTCAGAGTTTAAAAATATTGATTTCAACTTAAAAAAGTTTTCAAACCGTGTATTTTAAATACACCTATTAATATTGTTTTCTTTAAATATTGACAAATTTATCTTAACATCCTACAAATTTTTTAGAAGAAGAAGGTTCAACTGTGGTTTTAATAAAAATAACAATAGATCAGATAAGCAAATAAAGAGCTTAATAATATTTAAAATGAATAAATTGAATTTTTTCTAATATTGAGCTACTATATCTGAATGTGTTTATATAGTTAAAATTCTACCAATTTTTTTTGTTTCAAATTACATACTCGTACATCCCTGGATCTATGTATGTTAAGCGCCATCGCAAATTGGAAACCGAAAAAATAAAGAGTTGAAAGTGGTGTGCAGAAGAGTCATTCCTCATATTTATTTTTAATAATTTATTTATTGTAAACAAAATATTAAAATTAAACATAAATAAAAAAAATTTAATTAAATATATTATTAATGATATTGACAAAATATATCTCAACTATCATTATTCTTTTATACGGATGTCAGTATTAACATTATTCACAGAAGATCAAATTGGAGTGTTCACAACTAATTGAGAAATATAGATAAAAATCATAATAAATATGCGCTGAAATCGGAAACGACTTATTTAGTACATAAAATATCTTATGACGCTTAATGGATCTTATGATCTAAGTGCGTCTTCGGACGGCCCTAGGACGGCTCTCACCCGCCGCTGATTATTACCTGATAATCAGGTTTTGTATTCTTTTTTTTACTCTTTTCAAAAACATATTGAACTTAAAAACCCTCTCTTATATCTCTTATATCTATGGTATATCTAAGTGTACCTAATGCTGAAGACGATAATGCAAGCAGCAAACTTAAACAGCACAGGTACAATATTCAACAGTATAAAAGTATAGTACTGCTGGCGTTTGCCGATGGTATTGGTATACTCTTCCCCATAAAATTTACGACTCACATTAAAGTAAGTTCCCAGTTTTCTGAAATTATAGTTTAATCAATTCCTGTAATGATTCTTAAATTATTTTTACTCAATTGCATACAATCGTTAAATCGTTTCACATTAAAACTGTGATTTCCTTTGTGATAGCCCTGGTTCCTGTTGTTGTGATAACCGCTGAAAATCTATCGAGCAGATAAGATGCAAGGAACTGCAAATATGGAGGTGATTGTTAAGGAGCAAAAGTGGATTAGGGTGGATGCAATTTCAATTTAAGTCAACCTAGGTCTAGCCAAAAACCGATTGGACTCTAGTTAGTGTATGCATTGGCATATGCAAACAAATCGACGACATCAGTTAGGACACATATGGAAAATTGGTGTATTTATGCGTGACTATAACCTGATCTTATTTGAGCTAGGATAGTTCATATTCTGTAACATGCAGTATATGTGGAAACTGTCGTTTTTCCCAAGAGATATTAAGCATAGATATGTTGAGAACCGTTGTCTCGGAAGAGGTACAGGTTGTGTGTGAAGGGCGCGACAGCCATAGAAGTTCATTTCAGAGCAACTATTTTTGTTTCTTTCCGAATAGAAATTTGATGATTTGACATAAAATTATTTGTATATCAAGTTTGGATACATTCTTTCCTCGGCTTAGAAATGGAGCTTTTTTAAAAGTATTAACTTATCCTATGAAAACTGTATAGAAATCGCTATTTAGAATTGATAAAGTATAAATAAACATATAACATTTTTGGATAAATCAAATCAAATATCTTAAAAACAATAAAATTAAAAATAATTCATTCATAAAGAGCTTTACAACCACAAAAAAAAACAAAAAAATTTAATACAAACACAAAATAAAGCAGAAATTTTTAAATCTTATTGCGAAATACATTTTTTTTGAATTTTTTTTTAAAAGATTTTGTTTAATTTTGTCAACAAATCATAATAAGATACTCGCAATTATTTTTTTTAAATAAAAAAGCTCGTATATCTTGGCCCATAAAAATATATTATCTATCATTACAAAAGACTTTCCACGTTAGATGAGAGATCTTATCAGTTCAACAATAGCGACTTCGCAAGGTGTGCCATTCTACAATTAGTACTGAATTACACATATGTTCCGTTGTGGAACCTAATATGCTTTCTATAGTGCATGTACCGCACAAATTACGTATTATCAGACCAACGTAAGACTACTATTTACTCTTATAGCTTTTCTCTCGAATGAATTATAATGCTTTCATATGCAAAGCGACAATTTATTCAGAATTTATGAATTCGAAATACTTTTATGAAGTAGATAAAAGGTTAGAAAGTGATATGTCTTATACGCGTAATTAAATTTCGTAAGGTAGTAACATCTAAGATGTTAGTCTGCATTTAAAAGTGATGGGGTCCACAAGGATTTTGGCAACAATCTTCTACGAATACGCGAAAAATTTCAATTTGACTAAAGAAATGCACTAAAAGTTTTTTTTAAAAATTTTTAATTTAATTTTCCAAATATTTCGTTGTAACGAAAATACAAATTCAACTGTGATATTAAAAAGTCTTAATTTTTTAATTTATTTAAAGAAATAATTGAAAAAGAGTTTCAAAAATTTTGCAAAAATGTTTCTGAATATATTCAACTTTTCTGAAGGCGTCTTCAGTCGCGAATATCGTAAACAGTTATTAACTGCGTTAAGTGGTAAAAAATAATATATTTATATATATATTTATTTAAAAAAAATTGGTGTTGAAAATAAAAAAAAAAATAGTAATTATTTAGTCGCTGTAATATTCAAAAAAAATTCTCGTAAATAATGTATATAGGTGTTTAGTACATGTTTGGAAAGTTTCAGACATGGAACCATGAAGCTTCATGGTTTTTGTACAAACCGTGGTAGCTGGTTGGTTGCAGTGACAGGCTATTAGATAACCTCCATGTATGGAACCATGAAGCTTCATGATTTTTGTACAAACCGTGTTAGTTGGTTGGTTGCAGTGACAGGCTATTAGATAACCTCCATGTATTGAACCATGAAGCTTCATGGTTTTTGTACAAACCGTGTTAGTTGGTTGGATGCAGTGACAGGCTATTAGATAACCTCCATGTATTGAACCATGAAGCTTCATGGTTTTTGTACAAACCGTGTTAGTAGGTTGGTTGCAGTGACAGGCTATTAGATAACCTCCATGTATGGAACCATGAAGCTTCATGATTTTTGTACAAACCGTGTTAGTTGGTTGGTTACAGTGACAGGCTATTAGATAACTTACATGTACCTCAATTAGCGATTTTTCGCTATTTTGCTACCACATTCCTCGCAAGAAACCTTGAATAGAAGACTTTAGTAGAGACTAAATCCATCCCGCCGAATCTAGATAATTTAATAGGTCTTTCGTCTTCACCGATGAAGAGTCTGATAAACAAACAAAGAAGTATCTTCCTAAGAATCTATATATTTTGTACGCCAAAACTGGACATTCATAGAGAAAATGTGTTATGGTTTCTTCTTCCTGCGGGTTTCCATAACTTTTGCAGTGAGGATTATGAGGAATGCGCATTTTCTCTGCATGAATTTCTATACACCAATGACCAGAAAGAACTGCAGTAAGCTTAGCAGTGTTCAAGCGGTCTCTTTTGCCAAAGCGTGTTACTAGCAATATATAAATTTATAATACATGTGACTGATCTTAAACTAAATATTTAATTTGTATCTTTTTTTCATGCTCAAGGTAATGAAGTTATCTTCAACATCAGCTCTGCGTGATCAACTCGTGTATTGTTCAAATTAACATATTGTCAACAACAGAAAAAATTATTTTAATAAAAATACGATGACAGTTTCTTCCTGTTCTTAAAAATTTTAAAATCCAAAACATTTTTGACTTAGCAAATATATTTTTGCTTCTTTTGATTTTTTGATCTGCAAACTTTGATAATTTTTTAAAAGCAAAAATGACGTATAACTTGGTTATATTATAGTCATAAATTTAATAAAAGTCTTATAATAATAATTAACTAAGTTTTTTTTATAAAGAATTATATAGAGAAATTTCGAAAAGTAGTGAACACTACCACAATTTTTCCAGTTTCGAGTATTGCTAAATACCCATCATCAGTGGTCTTAGAATTATTTCTTGTATTTAATAATTCGTAAATAATTTTTTGAATACTGCAAGTACCAGAAAATATATCAGAAAAATAATTATTTTAATCAATTTATTGTTTATTGAATTATTAATGCAGAATTTCGGATTTTTTCTCTGGATTGTAAACACGGGTGCTTTTTAGAATGTTGCTTTAATCTAAATTTGATGCCAGCTCGAAAGTCTTTACAAAACTTCCAATAAATATTATTTTAGCGTTGTGATGTCAAGAATATATGATAAATTCATCCAATTTTTTCAGATATTTTTTAATTTTTTTTATATTAACATCTTTTTTGTCTAAACTACCGAAATGAAGCAAATAAATTGATTCTCTTCAACCTAGTTTCGTTATTGGAATGTCGGTTTATTGCGATAGTATACTTTTACAATAAATGGCAAGAAATTTTACACTCACCTCTAAACCGAGCACTCTTCCCTTTATTGTAAGGAAAATTAATAACAAATTATAATAAATTTTTGAATTTCATTTATCTTTACATATTAGTAAATTTAAATGGAAAAAACTAATTTTACTGAAATTTACAGTCAGAACATTAATCGTGTGTTAAACTAACAAAAGTAACATCTATTTCTAGACATAATTTGCTTATTTAATAGTTCAATACCTTAAAACCAATCAAACAGAAAAATGCTTAATACTTTTTGTGCAACCTAACATATCAGAATAATATATATCTATATATATTCTTCAACGATGCAATTTTTCTTCTGTTATATGAGCAATGTCTTTAAAACAGTTTTTCTTCTTTCAACATTAAAATCTTTTTTGAAAATTTTTTTCATAGACTTGTGCAGATATCTGCGATATTGGAGTAAAATCATTATGTTTATGTTATTGTTGTAATATATAGGCTACTCTTTGACAAGAGGAATGAATTAAAGCCCTTCACCATTCATTTAAATTAGCTTCATCTCACTCTTGAGCTCTTTTAAGCAATTTATTAAATATTAATATTTTCCTCTATCATTCACAAAGAATAAGATACGGTCCAAAATAAAAATCTACAAAACCCCATAGAAAGAATATTATTTAAAAAACTTTCTTCAAGATACACGTTTTTTTTTAAATTATTAAAAGAGTTTAATAAAAAAAATTTCAATGAAATCGGAGGTGATGAGGTTATAAATCATTCCATTTGCAGTAGAATACTGCATACACAAGTATAAAATAAGAAGTCGTTGTAAAAGGACTCTATAGATGGTCTTATCACCTATATTGATTATCAACGTCACTGACAAAAACTTATAAAAATGCATTAAATGGTGTTGACAATATGCTTGAACGTTATAAGACAGTATCACAGGAAGATTTGGAAGAAGTTCATATAGAATATATATAGAATACCACATTTGTTGACATAAAACCATATAAGACAATGCGTTAAACAATTTCAAAAGTCTGTTAGTGTAATTGGAAATATAGTGCAGAAAAATTGTTCAGATTTAAACTTCTAATAGTCCTAGTAGAGACTTAAGAAAAAAACAATATAGATCTTTGAATAAGTCGAAGACTGTGGCATCAGCTGGGAAATAATCAGTTAAGTTAATTGTTTTAAGGGATGTCAAGAATCAATTACTGACAACACTTGACAAGAATAGTAAATAAGTAAATAAATAACACTTCTGATTTACTGAATATATTGAAATGTCATAACTAATAATGTTATTATCATCAAAATTTCTTTAATCCCAAAGACAATAAATTTTAGGTCAAAATTTTGTCGTTCAAAATAAACGAATTGCTTTTTAAATTAGCATTTAATCCCCAAAATATTCCAGATGTGGTCATAATTAATGAACACTACAAATGAATATTTTGAAGACCCTAAGATTATCATTTGGGTATGGAGTAAGAGGCGTTTTAGTTGAAAAATAACTATTGAAAAATAACTATTTAAAACGATTCTATATTCGGAGAAAATTTGCAAACAGTCCAATTGTCTGATTTTGAATACATTGATTATTATTAGGTTATTATCATTATATATTATTTTTGCTACGAGTATACGATGAAGATCTAAAAATAATTTCGTGTCTTTCCTGAATTATATTTTTGGTCACTTGTGCAGTACCGATAGGAAGATGTTTACTGATAAAAATATATTTTGATCTAGTGAAGATTTAGAAGTTAATGGACTAAGTTTCTTAGTGAAAAGGTTACGAAATTGTTACTAAGTGGCTTTAAAATTAATTATTCTTTATTTAAAATACCAAAAGTTGTTTTGTCTGCAATCTGCGTAAGCAAACTCATCACAAATGTCATTTGTCTAGTGAATCAGTGATTGTTTTTATGTTTTGACGTAACATTACTCTAAACGTTATGTCAAGTAGATTGTTTATAAAATATCAAATTTTTAACAATTTATTTTTTGACAGTTTATTTTTGTTTTTACGTTTTAGAGATATATCTTAACAATACTTCCGTTTCTTATGAGCATACCTTACACGCCATATTAGTTTGCATTAATGTTAGATAATTATTATTATTATAAAATTATGTTTAAACAATATTAAAAAGTTGTTGTATATAACAATTATTTTTATATCTAATGTTACTTTTACATATTTACACTGTAATATGTTATTATATGTATTACAATATCATTTTCAAAATTTACAATTTATTTAGCTTTTTCTCCATCTCTATCTCTCTCTTTTTTCACCTTTACTTTATTCTTATGCGGTTACAGTCATACTCGTCTTAAGGCCTAAGACTTCTATACTGTGGTGTCTCGTTGTGTAAGCATTTCTTTGTTATACTGATTTTTATCGAGCCATCCTTTATTTTTAGCATCCTCTGTAATGCTCGTAACTCTCCTGATATTATGAGGCTTTTGTTTTGTCTCATTCCGTACTCTTTTAGGGTGTTTACTGATCGACAAATTTCCATCAAACATTGATAAGTCCATTTTCATTTCGACTTCGTAGAAAACCCAGCATATACATTAAGACTGAAAAGTTTTCGGAAATTCTCATTTAAAATTCGCGCGCTGTATATTTTTCGATATTTTAAGTTTATGTAGTTTGGCAGCACTGTCCTTAATTACTATGCCAACAATGAGCGCGATCTGTCAGACAGTTCGTTTACGGCAGCTGTTGAAACCAGTTCACCTCAGTAGTGCGTTGCGAAATGTCTTCGACGGTCGTACGACCGTCCTGAAAGGCTTTGTACCACTCATAAACTTGAGTTTTCGATAAAACTGATTCCCCATAAGCCTTTTGTAGCATTCGCAACGATTCTGCACACGAAATTTCGTTCGAAACACAAAATTTGATGCAAACTCTTTGTTCAATATTTTTTTCCATTGTTTTTTTCGCAACGCACTACTGAGGTGAACTGGTTTCAACAGCTGCCGTAAACGAACTGTCTGACAGATCGCGCTCATTTTTGGCATAGTAATTGTCCTTAATTTCTGCCAAACTACATAAACTTAAAATATCGAAAAATATACAGCGCGCGAATTTTAAATGAGAATTTCCGAAAACTTTTCGGTCTTAATGTATATAATGGCATGCATCATGAATGGTAAATAGGGACAAAACCTATTGATATGTGTAGCTTTCTTTCTATGTCGCAACACACTAGTTAACCAACGCAATTTAAATTACGTTGCATTCTTTCTTTAAGTTATATTATCACCTATACCATCCTCTTTACTTAAAATTGAATTGAGGGGCTTGAATTTTAAAAAAGCGATTCACTATTGATAATTTGGATTTACTTTGGACGAATCGCAATTTTGCTATGGAATAGTATTTGAATTATTTCATATTTATTTGCATTCCATTACTGTTTAAGAAGCGATCCAGTTGTTCAGTTTCTATTCTAATGCAACAGATTAGTATAATATTAATATAGCAGATTATGCAGATTCTGCTGTGATGCACTAGGACACAGAAGAAACAAAATTTTAGGTACATACCAACTAGAGTATAGAGACCTTCGAAAACTCCCTCCGAAGAAGCTGGTTCGATTCTTCAAGACAGTAAAAAGCTAAATACAAAGAGATGCACAATAGATCAAACTGATCGCAGTGCATAGGGGCCTTAGCCTAACCCGAAAACCCCCAAATACCATTAACCATTAACCAATATAAAGTGATTGCCATAGATAATGTGTCAGAGTTTTTCATCTTGATTGCACACCACACCTTGTAATTTTATTTATTTAATAAACGATCTAACCTCGAAAATAGTCAAAAAAACTTGCTTTAAATTGGTAGAAATAATAATTAATTATAACTATTAATTATAATAATAGATATATGAGATATATATGAGTATTCCCAATAAAGTTTAAACTATTGGTAATAAAAAATTGTGATAAAAATATGAATAATTTATTAGTTGAATTTATTTCAAAGTATCTTTTCACGTTAATGACTTAACTACGAAAGCTTGTAGCTTGTGTTTAGTGTAGGATCTCAAGTATTTCTAAATAAATTCTTCATATTGCAAAATAAATTTTGCTTCTTGTTATTCTCTAACTCACTTGAAATAATTACTTAAGAAGTCGTAATGCTGCTTCTTCTTACCACATTGTATGTGTGTGGTATGAAAATTCTAGTCATTGAAATTTTGTTAAGTATACGCCATGGGTAAGCTTAAGTAAGCATGATTAGGCTTATTAGTGAGAAAATTATTAATAAACATGTTTTCGCTGTTATTGCTTGCTCAGAAAACTCTGCTTAGCAAAATTGACGTAAATGCAAAATTAAAGAAAAATATAATTAGCATAGGTCACAGCTTACTGAGTTTGTATTGCAATTGAATATTCATGCTAATGAAGCTGAAGCTGAAGCTAAAGTACTCGTACATAATGAGATCTTATACACTAAATTATATTAATAGATTTTCCTCTCAAAATTTGTTAAAACAGTAACGATAATAACCCTTTCACATGGCATTGCTTTGGGTTGGGTTTCGCCAATGTTGCATAAATTGCAGAAAATTGGTGAAACCCCATTCGACTTCGCTATTAATGTGGAGCAAGCCTCCTGGATTGGAGCATTTACTTGTGTAGGTGGATTTATCGGTAACATCACACTTGGTTCATTGCTAGATACAATTGGACGTAAAGCTGCAATTTACTTTTTGGCAATACCGCATTTAGTAAGTACAAGTGTAAGTCAGAGCTAATTGAAAGCAATCAAATATATTCTTGGATTTTCTAGTGTTTTTGGGGCTTAGTGTATTTTGCTAGCACAATTGAACATCTTTACGTGGCACGAATTCTAAGTGGAATCAGTGGAGGCGGTTGTTATATTGTAATTCCAATATTTTTGAGCGAAATAGCTGATGCCAAGTTAGTAAAACACCAAAAACATTTTTTTGTTTAGTTTCGTTTTTTTTATAAATTTGTTATAGTGTACGCGGTCGTCTTACCTCGCTTTTTATACTCACCATCAATACAGGCATACTTGTGGGTTATATACTATCATCCCATCTGCCATACAAAGTAATTCCTTGTGTTGCAGTGGTTTTGCCAATTTTGTACTTAACAACTGCTACATGGTATCCTGAAACTCCATTACATCTGTTGCGACGTGGTCGCTATGCAGAGGCTGAAAATGCTCTAAAGTTCTATAGAAATTTTGAGCCCAACTCTAAAGTCGAAATACAGCAGTTCAATACGGCATTTGCCGAAATGAAAGATGGTATAATGCAGCAGAAGGCTACCAGTGGTGATGTCAGCATTAAGGATTTTTGTAAGTGATTCCTTATACCAACTTTGAATCGATTTTACGTCAGATTTTACGTGATTACATTTGTCAGCAATAAGAAAATAATTTTAATTATTTTTTCTTATTCTACAGTTACGAAAAATGCTCTAAAAGCCTTTGCTACCGGACTCATATTAATGTTGGTCAACATTTTCTCTGGGGTTTTTGCTTTCGTAAACTACATGTCAACAATATTTGACAAATCCAAGGCTGACTTAGATCCGGACACCAATACGATCATCATTGGTGTGGTACAAATTGTAGGCACTTATACTGCCACTGTTTTAGTGGATCGTTACGGTAGGAAAATATTAATGATTGTTTCTACGGGTAGCATGAGTTTAGGTTTAGCGGCTTTCGGTATGTATGCCTTTTTCGTAGAAGAAATAGAAGTCGATTTATCCAGCTACAGTTGGTTGCCTTTACTGCTTATGGCGTTCGTTATATTTATGGCTAACGTTGGTGTAAATGCAGTGTCATTTATCATTTTAGTTGAAGTTATGCCAGCAAAGGTAAACTAGTGGCAATTAATTTGCTATTCATACACTAATATCGATTTATTTTGTAGATACGTTCAAAGGCTGCATCGATTTGTATGACATTGTTAAGTGGATTTGCTTTTGTTATGCTCAAAGTGTTTCCCATTTTAATGAACGTTTTCGGTTTGTCAGCGACGATGTGGTTCTGCGGTAGCGTTTGCACTATTGGACTGTTTTACGTTTGTGTCTTCCTCAAAGAAACAAAGGGCAAATCAATGAGTAAGGACGATGCGGATTCTTAACTTATAAGAAGAAGTCATTTCTTGATTTTCAAATGATTATTTAAATTAAATAAAATTTTATTAAGTGAATTAATTTTAAATTTAACTACAAATCATTCAATTAGAACATGTGACTGAAAAATGATTAATTTTTAAAATAATATTGTTATTGAATATTTAATATAAATATGACAGGTCAAATAAATAAACTACATAAACAAAAGCAATTAGTTACTTAAAAAAAATTTTCTTGGTTCTGAAAATTATAATTAGTTATTCAAATTGAGTACAATATATATATGTCATTGAGTACAATAACATATATGGTATATCGATAGTATATATAGGGTAACACACTGTGTCAGATTCAATTCAAAAGCAAAATCTAATGATTGAACTACTGAACCACTAAACTTGTTATTCATTTTATAGTTATTAAAGAATAATATATTATAGTTATTTAAATAAAGTACAATTTTTCTTTATACTATACCTAGACACAATATACATTGTGACCGAAAAGTTTCCGGTCATAAATAAATAAAACGCAAAATTCTTAATCTTCATCAATATTTATTTTATCTCCTTCAAAATATGCTCCATTAGAAGCGATACACAAATGCCAACGTTTCTTCCAATCATCAAAACATTTTTTATAGGCGCTTTCCGGTATGGCTTTGAGTTCCCTCTGCGAATTCTGTTTTACGTCTTCTATGGATTCAAAACGCGTTCCTCTGAGTGGTAATTTGAGGTTGGGAAACAGGAAAAAGTCACACGGTGCAAGATCAGGTGAATACGGTGGCTGTTCGATGGTATTTATTGAATGTTTGGCCTTAAAATCGTTGATAATGTTGAACAAATTGAGGTGAATCGGAACAAGCCGGGCGTTGACACGTCGCATACACAAATTGTCCACCAAAATCAAACGAGCCATCTCACGACCGATGCCTAGCTCTCGTGCTATCTCTCTAACACTCACATGAGGATTTTTGAACACGATTTCCTTTGCCTTTTCAATGTTTTCGTCGGTGGTAGAGGTCGAAGGTCGTCCAGAACGCGGCATGTCTTCGACGGTCGTACGACAGTCCTGAAAGGCTTTGTACCACTCATAAACTTGAGTTTTCGATAAAACTGATTCCCCATAAGCCTTTTGTAGCATTCGCAACGATTCTGCACACGAAATTTCGTTCGAAAAACAAAATTTGATGCAAACTCTTTGTTCAATATTTTTTTCCATTGTTTTTTTCGCAACGCACTACTGAGGTGAACTGGTTTCAACAGCTGCCGTAAACGAACTGTCCGACAGATCGCGCTCATTTTTGGCATAGTAATTAAGGACAGTGCTGCCAAACTACATAAACTTAAAATATCGAAAAATATACAGCGCGCGAATTTTAAATGAGAATTTCCGAAAGCTTTTCGGTCACAATGTATAGTATAACGAACTGTTTGAAATTACCCAGATTTTCAGAAAGTGAAATTTGGTAACTCATCAACAACAACACTTAAGATAAATCAAAAAATCTTACAAAAATTAAATTTAGTAGGATTTCAAATTTGCTGGCTCGGGATTTAAACAAATTGACTATTTTGAGTAACTTCTTCCACTACGCCATATCTTCATGTACTATGTTTCTGGAGATATCGGACTTCTGCGATACACATCAATATTTCTGCTAATAGTTGTTTGTGTAATCTAAATAATTGTAAATTAAATGCACGATATTTTGAAAACCAATATATACCGGCACTTCGCGTGAAGGGTGCATAAATAAGATAATAGATACTTTTAGTAACTTAGCGTTTAAAAACTTGTACTCTGATTTTTTTAGTGTTTCCTAAACCAAGTTAACATAATTTTATATATTTTTTAGTTAATTATTTCACTAATCAAAATAAACTATTTTAAAAAAAAAACTATTTAATTTGGTTATTAAAGTCAATTATGTAGGAAGAAACCATGTTTCTTCTTGGAGAGTACTGTTTTTATAAAGATAAGCAGTAGTGAATTGCTATAATAATTCAAATTCATTTGTAAAAGTAAACTTTTGAAGTACATAAGTGCAAAACAACAGCATTTTTATTATATATTAAAAATTTTTTTTTTATTAATACAACTATATAAATGAACTGACTATTAACTATTATAATGAAAATGGATTTGTGTCCAATATATTAATAACAATTATAAACTTGCCGTTTGGTTTCTATTTCAGCCTGTAATTCTATAACTTATAAAATATTATTATGGCTTGAATGTTTAATATATAATTACTTGCAAGACTTACAAGATACTTACAAGATACTTACAAGATACTAACAAGATACTTACAAGATACTGACAAGATACTTAGAAGTTTTACAGCGACAAATGCGTTATGTATGTATGAAAGTTATTAAGAAAGCAAAAAATGATGAATTATCATTACTGATAAAAATTAAATTAAAATTGTATTAATAATAAAATTGTACAAAGGAAGTAAATATAAAAGTAAAGACTTTATAAAGTTCACCGTTATTAGATACACGCCGTGTGATTCGCCGTCGGTAGAGCTTCTTTTGAGGCTTGTCTACCATGACTTCAGTCTTTATGGTAAACTTTGAGTACACCGTTCCTGAAATGCAGACTTAAATGTTTGTTCCCCAAAATGTGGTTGCTAAAAAGTTTCTGCTAATTGATCTAAAATATTTGTTTCCATCGTTAATGACGTTACTCTGGAATAGTCCAGAGTAGTATATTCCAGAGTGACGTCATTAACGTCTGGTGTATTCCAGGGATAGACAACTTCACCATCCTGCTAAAAATTATTTTGTAGTAAATGCTTAGCTATACCATGGTACCATAAAGTAGCATATATTTTAAAATAAATAGATATTTTACTTATTCACACTCTTTAATAATAGACAACTTATGTATAGTATAGATGTCCAATATCAACCAAAAGATCCGCAATCATTTGAAAAGTTTCCAAAACAGCTTTATCTCAATTTTATATTACTCACATTTTGAATCGTCATTATTTTAAAAAGTTCAACTTTACTAGTTTGCTCTCTCAGCATATATGGACTATTTCTTTACAAATCGAACACCTTTTTAATCTCATTACCACTACTCTTTATGAACTCCTTTCATAAAATAGAAAGCAACATTTTTTCGGAAAAAATTTTTAAACTTTTTTTTAGGAAACCTATGGGGTTTTAACAATTAGTATTGTGGATCCTTTAAACTGTTTCATAAAATAAGAAGACCCATATCTCAGAATATGGAAATTTTAAAATTTTTTTCCAATGATATATGAAACCAAGGGGTAGAAAAATTTTTAAACTGTTATATCTCGAGGATCAAAAGATCAATTTCTAAAATTGTGTTTGAAATTTATTTTGTGGAAATTTATATTGGTCATCTTTATCTTTATCCAAAATGTTTAAAATCTTGTTTTTGTACAATGCACGAGATACCTTCTGCGCAAAAAGATTTTGTTGTTTGTTAACTACTCCTTAAGTAATAGACCTTTTCTTGACATATGGTACAAATTTGAGCGCCATCTGTCAATTAGTTTGTTTACAGCAGCTGCTAATGTGAGACTACCTCAAGTGCATTTAGCGATTCTTATTATGGAAAATTCTTGTTGTACGCGATTTTTTAACCAAACACGGCACTACTGTTATTGCTCAGGCACCATATTCACCAGATCTGGATCCGTACGACTTTTTCCTATTGCCGAAACTCAAATTGTCCCTTCGTGGTAAGCATTTTGAGTCGATTGAATCGGTAAAAGAGAATTCGTTGAAGGAACTAAAAGCCAGACCTTCACGGGCCTACCAAAAATGTGTGTGGAAGATTGGGTTAAGCGTTGGCATATGTGTATCGCTTCAGAAGGAGCATATTTTGAAGGAGATAAAATAAATTTGGAATAAAATTTAAATTTGTGTGTTTTATTTACAAAATCTGAGTACTTTTTGAGCAGAAGGTATAAGAATTTTTTTTGGATACATTTACTTTTGAATATGAAACTTAAAGAAGATAAATTCTGATATCCAGAAATAAGTTTTTGCAAAAATTTTAATTCACTCAATTGATTTATAGAGTTACTTCTATGAGTTTACTTTCTTCTACTCGTTCCTCTGCTGTAGTATCGCTAAAATTTTCTATTTTTGTTACGCAAGTAAATATTGAATATTGAAAGTGAAATAATTGTTGTCAATAATAATTTTCATACAGAAAATCTTATCTAAATTGAAATTTTCCAAAATTAATGACCGTCATTTCAAATTAAATAAAGTCGTTTCACAGCAGTTTTAATGCCTTTGACTGGAAGTCAAACACGTTGTCAAACAATTTATTGGACGTTTCAGAATCGTTGCCAGTCACTTTGATCTCAAGAATATCGGAACAAATATTTATTTTATTATTTATTTAACATTTTGTGAAAAAATTTTTATTAACTAAAATTGACTTTTCAGTTGTAGTTATAAATTAAAAAAAAAAAAAAAATAATAATTAAATTTGTGATTGTTTATTATAGCTGTCTTGCTACTATTCCGCCTTCCGGACTTGTTCCGGACTTACTACATATTCTCAATATTTCGTATTTTCATTTCGTAGGATTACTTGATGAATTTGAAAATATATTTTCTTTGTTATCTTTAATTTTTTGGGAAAAAAATTAACTGAAATTCATTTCCATCGAAATTTGTATTTATTTACTTTCCGCTTAGCTCTACACTTCCTCACTTCCTCACTTCTACACTTTCTCACAACCGAAATTAGCCGCTTTGATGTGCGGTAATTATTGATTAATTCATAAACGACAAATGCTGTATGAAATCGTCTCAATGTTGCTCAGAATTTGACTTTTATTTGAGTTACTGTGCGCTACGTGTAAAGTATTTCGATTTTGTCACACTTTTGTCACAGATACTTTTGTATCTGTGCCGATGTTGTTGTTGTCATATTAGATCATATAGCAGTATAGATATCAAAATTTTAATGTCGATGCTTAATGAGCTCTTATGTTTTTGCTTCGGTAGAAATTTTTTTGTGAAAACCTTTGTACATGTAAAAGATACAAAGTAAATAGCTTCAACGACATAATTTACAATAAAAATGTCATGTAAATGTTGTAAAAGCAATTTGTTATGTGCTGAGTATATGCGGTGGGAGCTGTGGAGGACAGCACTGAGTGTATTTAATTT